TCTCAGAATAAGGTACAAAATAATTAAAATAAAATAATTGAAAAATATATAAATTTATTAACATTTTAAATAACTGATTTCTTATTGTATGTAGTTTCAAATGAAATTATTAAATGAAATGAAATTAATAAAGTCATTATTGCTTTTATTACTATTACTATTAATAATAATAAAAAATAATAAGAATAATAAAAATAATAATAATAAGAAGAATAATATTAATAATAATAATAATAGTGGCTCAGCAATTAGCACTGTCACCTAACAGCAAGAAGGTCACTGGTTCAAGCCTCGGCTGGGCCAATGGCATTTCTGTGTGGAGTTTGCATGTTTACTGTGTTGGCGTGGGTTTCCTCCGGGTGTTCCGGTTTCCCCCACAGTCCAAACACATGCGCTATAGAGGAATTGATTAACTAAATTGGCCGAAGTGTATGAGTGAGCGAGTGTGCATGCATGTCTGTGTGTGTGTGTGTGTGTGTGTGTGTGTGTGTGTGTGTGTAAGTGTGTGTGTGAATGAGTGTGTCTGGATGTTTCCCAGTATAGGGTTGTAGCTGTAAAGGCATCCGCTATGTAAAACATATGCTGTATAAGTTAGCGGTTCATTCCGGTGTGGCAACCACAGATGAAAAAGTGACGGAAAATGAACAAATGAGTGACAATAATAATAATTAATATATTAGAGTGATTTCTGAAGGATGTCTCTGAAGAGTGGAGTAATGAAGCTGAAAATGCATCTTTAAATCACTGGAATAAATGATTAAATTAAATTATAATCTACTTCTGAACTGTTAGTTTATAGTGCAATGACATTTGACAATTTTACAGCATGCACTGTATTTGTAATGAAATGAATGCAGCCTTAATAGCTTATTTTAAAACATTTCAAAATCAGGCTGACCTCAAATTTTAGACTGATAGTGTATAAAAATATCATTTAAGCAATGCTAAAATAATAATATAAGAAAATATGCTGAAAACGTTGCAAAGCTGAAAGTATGTATCTCTAAAATGCACCGCAATAATCTCAAAAAATTGCTTTTCATTGTGTAATGGACAATATTAATAATATAACTCATCAGGAGTGTCTAAAACGTGATCTGCACTCATCATGGTCATCAGTATATATTTGTCTACAGGACCTGAGGAGTATGGTGGGGCTGTGGCTCTGTTTGTCTCTGGGACAGTGCGGTATAAGTCCAGAATTTCGGGGGACAGATTTAGGAATACTACCTATGGACAACTTCACTCTGTCCCAGCCGATATCATCGGAGCCTGATTTATCCTACTGTCAGATGATTCTGGAGGCGCCGGTTCCTCCGACTGCAGATCAGGTGCCCTGGTACTGCATCTGCTCCGCCTGCTCGGGAAACAGAGGACAGAAAGGAGACAGAGGAGACCGCGGACTCACAGGTATCAAGACTATTTCACTCTATAATCGATATTATATGAGTCACTGAAAACATCACTGACTGAAAAGCTGAATGAATAGGGGTGGCATGATGGCTCAGTGGTTAGCACTGTGGCCTCACAGCAAGAATGTCGCTGGTTTGAGTCCTGGCTGGGCCAGTTGGCATTTCTGTGTGGAGTTGGTGCTCCGGTATCCCCCACAAGTCCAAGCGCATGCGCTATAGGTGAAATGAAGAATCTAAATTGGCTGTAGCTTATGAATGTGTGTGTGAGAAGAAGTGTGTATGGGTGTTTCCCAGCATTGGGTTGCAGCTGGAATGGAATCCGCTATGTAAAAGATATGCTGGATAAGTTGGCGGTCTATTTTGCTGTGATGAATAAAGGGACTGAGCCGAAGGAAAGTGAATGAATAAATGAATGGCGCTGTGTGCTACTTCTGCGCAGAATATCGTTAAAAATCTGCAGATGTGGAATGATTTTGGGAGCATCCAAACTAAAAACTTCCTCGCTGGAAGAGTTGGTTGGACAAGGTGTGCCTGAGCACGGTTCACTTGGGCTTTGGAGCGGTAGGCTTGTGCATGAGTGCAAAATGAGCCTAAGATCGAAAATAAAAGCAAGACGAGACTTTTAAGGGACTGTCTGATTCGGATTTATATTTATTTATTTATATTTATTTACTATTTAATAAACGCAAACTGTCAGAGGTTATTAAAGACACAAACCCCTCACTGCACGACAGCTTTACCTTCAGCAAACCTCCTAATTCCTGCATCACAAGCACTTTATGATTGTTTATGAGCATCAAAAGTGGCGGATCTGTTTGCCGAAATATTCAACTGTCACTACATCCCTAACGACTAAGGGTGCTTTCACACCTGTGAATGGATTCAGTTGTTCCGAAACAGAGATTACAATTGTTACATTGTTGCTCTTTGCTCTTGGAGCGGTTCGCTTTCACACTGCAAAGTTTCCAATCGGACCAAAACAGCTAAAACAAGTCACGTGCGAGTAAACTCTCCTTACATTGGTCAGAGTGTCAGGGTTTATTTTGCAGCGTCTCGCTCAGCTGTCAGGAAAGGTGGTGGTTTGATGGTGATTGACAGGGTGATCGTGCGCGACGTGTCTGAGGAGAGATGCGGTGGGGAGGGGTGAGAAGGGTGCGCGACGTAGCCTATTTGAGGACCGGGAGGGTGACGCGAGATTACCGGGAGATCATCACTCGTTTGCGGGCATTTGGAGACTCGCGAAACTTCCTGCCATACTCATAATTCTCTCTTCATATAGCCGTAAGCCTATTACATATCCATAAAACACTGTGATATAACCGCGCTCGGATCGCTTTCTCACTGTAATCAAACCGCTCCAGGGTTCGTTTCAATCCACCTCACTCAGGCGGTCTCGGAGCGATTACTTTGGCGCGGAACAGAGCGCGATTGCCCTGTTTACATATGCCAAACGAACCGCGCTAACTGGGCAATCGAGACACGTTCCGAAACAAAAGTGTAGGTGTGAAAGCACCCTAAAACAACATAGCTAAAGAAATCTCCACTGTGCTGAGCTAAAGGGCTTACTGAACAGCGCATCATTGATGATGTAAGAGTGCTCAGGTGCAAATGCATTGTGAGTACGGGCTGTCGGGGGAGACAGGAGGGGGGACAAGCATGCTTCAGCGCGGTTCAAGGCAACTGTACATAGTGCGAGTACGTCCTCAGTCATACTGAGGCAGGATGTAATGCAAGTAATACAAAATATTTTTGGTGATGGTGTGGACTTTTCTTTTACAACAATTTATCTGGGAAATAACGGTAAAAGACAAGCATTTATTAAAAATACTTCTAACAACCAGTAAGAAAACTTTAACTCGACTCGAAAGAAGCTATAACTCAATCCCCCTGCAAAATCTGAATGGTTGGAAATCTTATCTAATGTTCAAAATATGGAGACTTTTTCTGTAAAACTACAAATGGTCAAATGTCTGTAATATTAGGAGAAATGCATTGTATTTATGAACAACACAGGGTACTTTAGTTCTTTTTCCCAAGTTCCCAGGTTCTGCAGGTTGCAATGTCCCCAATTTTGCTTGCCAATCTTAAGCCAATTGTTATTGATTGTTTTGGTTTATTTGGAATTTGCAACCAGCGCAGAGCTCGGGGGACCAGAGTGGAGTGAGTGCTCCGACTCGGCCCCCCTATATAATGTAAAGTAATGTGTATTTATATAGCGCATTTATTGTGTATGGTCATACACTCAAAGCGCTTCACAATCATGAGGGGGGTCTCTCCACAACACCACCAGTGTGCAGCATCCACTTGGATGAAGCGACGGCTGCCACAGGACAACGGCGCGGCGGGTGTCAGGGCACTCACCACACACACCAGCTATTGGTGGAGTGGAGAGACAGTGATAGGAGCCAATTCGGTGGATGGTGATGAGTGGGAGGCCATAATAGTAAGGGCCGATAGAGGGACTTTGGCCAGTACACCAGGGTTACACCCCTGCTCTTTATGAGAAGTGCCCTGGGATTTTAATGACCACAGACAGTCAAGACCTCGGTTTAACGTCTCATCCAAAAGACGGCGCCCACTGACAGTGTAGCGTCCCCTTCACTTTTACTGGGGCATCAGGACTCACACAAACCACAGGTTGAGCGCCCCCTGCTGGGCTCACTAACACCATTTCCAACAGCGACCTAGTTTTCCCAAGTAGTCTCCCATCCAGGTACTGACCAGGCTCAGCCCTGCTTAGCCCTAGTCCTTTAGTTCATTTTTAAAGGGAACTTTTTATCCAAAAGAGAGAGAGGTGCACTGCACAGGCTGAGCTAAAACTTTACAGACACATTCAGGAGACACCAAAGGCTTATCTTACATCTTGTAAATAGGGTTAAAAAGGGTGCCCTTTAACACCTGATTTTTAAAGTGGGCATCTTGTATACAGATCTCTTTAAATGTTTATTTCCATATTTGACTTAATTTGATTTCCTGAAAGTGATTGCTGGTTAACAAGTAGGAAAAGTCTAAAATGGCACTGAAAAATAGCCTGACAGTAGCAACAGGCAAAGCACATGAAATGACCCAAAAGACATTTTGATAAATGGAAAGTAAAGATTAAAAAATGACAAGCAAAAAATTCCATGATATTCCATATATATACCTTACTTTCGAAGTCTGGAATATACCTTATAAAATTCCATATTTGGTGAGGCAGTGGCGTAGTAGGTAGTGCTGTCGCCTCACAGCAAGAAGGTCGCTGGGTCGAGCCTCGGCTCAGTTGGAGTTTCTGTGTGGAGTTTGCATGTTCTCCCTGTGTTCGTGTGGGTTTCCTCCGGGTGCTCTGGTTTCCCCCACAGTCCAAACACATGCGGTACAGGTGAATTGGGTAGGTTAAATTGTACGTAGTGTATGAGAGTGTGTGTGAATATGTGTGTGGATGTTCCCCAGAGATGGGTTGTGGCTGGAAGGCCATCCACTGCGTAAAAACGTTCTGGATAAGTTGGCGGTTCATTCCGCTGTGGCGACGATTGATTAATAAAGAGACTAAGCCAACAAGAAAATGAATGAATGAAAATTCCATATTTCAGAAATGACTTTCAGAAAACCTGAGTTTATTATTGTTATTACCTGCTTCTCACAGGAGCTCCTGGCAGTCCGGGTCCAAGGGGTCTCACTGGACTTCCTGGCCGTCCAGGATTCAGAGGACCTCCTGGAATAAAGGGTGAGACACAACAAGACTCACACAAGAATGAATGTGTCTATTGCATTGTGAGAGAAAGCTAAAACATGTATGGTGAGATTACAATAAAGTTACTTGCATGAATACATACTAGAACAAACAAGGGAAAGAAGATAGTCCACACAAAATTTACTCACCGTCAAGTTGGTCCAAACCTCTATACAGTTCTCTGTTTTACTAAACACAAGATAGCACACAGTTGAAGGCAAGTTAATTATGTTACAGGTGAGAAAGGAGATATTGGAGATAAGGGAGACTTGGGTCTACCTGGAACTTCGGGGTCAAAGGGTGAAAGGGGCAGCAAAGGTCAGTGAAACGTCTCTAAATCTTTATCATATTTACTTACACAGAATGTCTATGATGACCATGCTTGTATACGTGCTACTCAGGTGAAAAGGGTGACCAAGGTCTGGATGGTCCTTCTGGAGAACCAGGCCCAAAAGGAGAAGATGGTCAATGCCCGCAAAGCTGTGCACCCATACCTGGACAAGATGGTGCACCTGGTCTTCCTGGGCTTGTAGGTGCACGTGGGTTACCTGGTCTGAATGGAGACCTTGGACCCAAAGGGCAGAAGGGAGATCCGGGTGTGGCAGGCGGACCTGGCACTCCAGGTGACACAGGGCCAAAGGGTGACCAAGGTCCACAGGGCCTGTGCAATTGTCATGATGGGGCTCCAGGAGCCCAGGGTCAAAAGGGAGACAAAGGTGATAAGGGAGATAATGGTTTGGCAGGGGCACAGGGTGTGAATGGAACCATAGGCCCTAAAGGTGCCAAGGGGGACATGGGATTGGCTGGCATTCCTGGACCTTGCTCACCTACAGTGCAATCTGCTTTCTCTGCCACTATTACCACCCCTTATCCTGCACCAAACCGCCCCGTTCTTTTCAAACGTGTAATCTACAACTTAAACCAGAACTATAGCCCTGATAATGGTGTGTACACAGCCCCTATTAACGGAACATACGTGTTTAGCTACAACTTACAAGTGTCTACCCGTATGCTGAAGGTTGGACTCTTCCGCAACTTTGAGGCCGTGGTGAGGACAACTACACCGGTGGAAATGAACACCGCTTCTCAGCAGGTGGTGATGGGTCTGGGTCAAGGTGATTGGGTGTGGTTGCAGGTGAAAGACAGCACCACTAATGGCATTTTCACTGGCACCGAGTCCAGCAGCACATTCAGTGGGTACCTATTGTACCCTGACAGATGTGATGACATGTTGTCAAGAGATTTCATGGAAAATGAGTTCCCCACTACAGACCTTAACTGGGAGTAGAGACCTACATCTGCATCCCACACTCTACTACTTAAACTCCTAGTCAATCTCTACTTTCTAAACCAGCACACAAATACAGAAAACACACCTTAACCAGCTAATCGATGTGTTCAGGAATACTTTAAACTAACAGGCAAGTGTTTTAAAGCAGAGTTGGCACTAGAGTCTGAAGAATAGTAGTCGGCCAGGAATAGGGTTGACTAACACCAGCTTAGACCTACACCCAAAATGTATTCGAAAACTTAGACCCAACTTTCTGAATCTAAACTTTTATCTACTCCTTAGACATTCACATTAAACTGCTGGTGTAAGGTGAAAAAATCTAATTTTTCTACTTCAAAGTAGACCTATATACAAGACTCCTAGTTCAAACTAATCTTCACCCTAGACCTGCACCCTCATCCATTGGCTACATCCAAACATCTAATCTTAAAGTTTTATCTACTCCCCCGGGGTACCTCTAAACCTTCAACCTACACCCCACATTCTACAATCTAGACCTTCACCCAAGTGTCCTAATCTAAACTTTTATCTACTACTAAACCTGATAGGCTTGACCAAAGCTTCTAAACCCAAACATATATCTACTTCCTCCCAGTCCCTGAAGGCTGTCCCTAAATTGTTCACCTTCACCCAACATTCTTAACCTTCAACTACACACAGACACAACTTTGACCTCCCAAAGGGCTGTCCCCAAGACACTTCACCTAAACCTACATTCAAAACTTTCAACAACAACTTAGACTTACACCCAAGATTCTTAACCCAATCTTTTATCTATTTCACCCTGATGACTGTCCCGAAAACTCTTCACCTAAACCCAACATTCAAAACTTTCAACAACATCTTAGACTTACACCCAAGTTTCGTAACCCAATCTTTTATCTACTTCACCCAGAGGGCTGTTCCTAAAACTCTTCACCAAAACCCAACGTTCCAAACTTTCAACTATAACTTAGACCTACCCCCACATTTCTTAACCCAATCTTTTATCGACTCCTCCCTGAGGGCTGTCCCAAAACTCTTCACCTAAATCAGGGGTGTCCAAACTCGGTCCCGGAGGGCTGGTGTTCTGCAGAGTTTAGCTCCAACTTGATCAACACAGCTGCAAGGATGTTTCTAGAATGCCTAGTAAGAGCTTGATTAGCTAGCCTAGGTGTGTCTTATTGGGGTTGGAACTAAACTTTGATGGACATCCACCCTCCAGGACCGAGTCTGGACATCCCTGACCTAAACCCAACATTCTAAACTTTCAACACCAACTTGTACCTACATCCAATTTTTTTTACCCAGTCTTTTATCTACTTCCCACTGAGGACTGTCCCTAAAACACTTCACCTTAACCCAACATTCAAAACTTTCAACTATAACTTAGATCTAAACCCAAGTTTCTTATCCCAATCTTTTATTTACTTCACCCTGAGTGCTGTCACTAAAACTCTTCACCTTAACCCAACATTCTGAACTTTCAACTAAAACCTAGACCTTCGCCTACGTTTCTTCAACCAGTCCTAATCCCAGGCCTGTCTCCAAAACTCTTTATCTGCACCCAAACTTTAATCAAACTTCTAACACAACCCTAGACCTACACTCAACATTCTAAAGCTAAACATTCAAATCTAACTCTCCAGACCTGCATCTAAGTAACCTTTTGGGTTACTAAACTCTACACCCAGCATTAAATATACTCCTGGTAGGCAAGTTCAGTCCCCGTGAGCCACAATCCTACACCTAATCAAACACACCTGAACAAGCTAATCAAGGTCTGACACTGTGGTCACACTAGAGTTTGAGCAATGCAAAAATGGGCGAGATAAAACAATACGAATATTGTTGATGCAAGCAAGCGATTGCTCAATATTTTAAACTTCTGTACAGAGAGGTCACGTTTTGATCTTCTATTGGTCTAACGCGATAATGTGATGTGATTTCACAGGTCTGAGTTCACCAAGCTTACGTTTCGAACATAAAGAAATGCGAGATTTGTCTCAAGAGCTTGCGTTTCCAGTCTGCCGCAGTCGCATGCTTATAAATGGAAGTCTATGGGGCAAGAAGTGCAGTGTGACCACGGCTTTACTTGAAAGCTTCAGACAGGTGAGTTTTTATCAAGCCTGGGCTTGCAGCTGTCCAAGACTCAACTTGCCTACCTGAACTATACCCTAACCCAGCAGTTCCCAAATCTAATCCTGGGAGCCCCTTGCCCTGCACTTTTTTGTTGCGTTCCAAATGGCATATAGTGAAAGGCACTTTGGAGTGAAGACAATCATGGCCAAAATACTGAAGGGTAATTTAAATCGGGCCACCTCAAAGGGGCCCTTTTGAATGAAGGCTACAACTGATGGACATTTCGGGCCATGATCAGGGAATTCGCTTGGTGTCAAACATTGTGTTCAATTCGAGGGCTCATCCCCATGCCTTAATGGCAATGACCACTGCCTTAAGCATACATTTAAGACCTACACCCTAAACCCTATAAATGACTATGTTGCCTAACCAGTTTCTAAAATGATTCAACCTAATCTCTTAACCTCTAATGTTTCCATAATATCTCAGATTACACATAGATTCTATTTTAAGATCACTTTGTGAAGCTTTTATGCAGGAGTCAATCTTTTGGCTGAATGAAGGGCCTCGTCTTTCTCATGTCTGCAATGGAGATGACTGGTGTTTATTTACAGTGCATGTCTTGTAACTTGATTAGCGTTATTGTGCCAGCATCAATAGTTGTATTGAATCTCCCAACTGTGCAGATCAATGGAAAGGTTGCTCCCTTGACAGACACATTTTCCCGCCGGATGTTTGTTAAATGGGCAGGAATGTGCCAATCAGCTGTTATATCGCGGTTCCAGCTATTGAGGGGGCCCACACTGTGAATAAGAACCAGAATGCTGGGTGGGCCGGTGCACATCTGTGTCTCAGGATAGATAAGCGGAACAAAGACAGAGGTGATGAACGCCCATTTGGGAGATGAAAACGGAGTCTCTTCACGAAGGGATTAGATCTTTTGAGTTTGAATCCTTCAGACACACAATGAGAGTTAATCTCTTATGGTGTTACCTGTACTCTATTATGAAAAGTGTTTACCTGGGAGCTGTGAATTCTAGCAACAACTCTGCAACAATGTGACAAAACATGGCTGACAAAACCATTCATGTTCATGCTGGTGTTCTATGTATTGATTACCCCAATGTTTCCAATAAATTGTAGGGTATTAATCTGACTCCTTGTTTGTGGTTATTTTTGGGCTTGATCAGAAGTCCTCAAACTTGAAAGTACCATCTGAACAAAAACCAAATCAAACCCAATTACAATAATAGTGAAAATGCCATGATCAGTGTAGCCGGACTTTAAGGTTATTTGCATATTTAGCAGTTTGAACATACAACAAAGTGCTGCAGTAATGAGATATTTTTGTTGGCCAACCCATAAGACAACCATAGGGTTTCCTCGGCCATAGGATTTTAGAGCCACTAATGCTTTTGGTTGGAATACATGGCTAAATATAAGTAGAGTAAAAAACAGGCATCTGTAACCCCGCCGGTCCTACACCACCCAACCCGCTCCAGGTTGAGATTGAACCGGCGACCTTCCGCATGGGAGTCGGTTGCTCTAACAAGAAGGCTAAAGACCCTGGCCTTTAGCTTCTGTCGGTAGAGCACCTTTAGAGGTCAGAGGAGTGAGGTTTACCTGCACAGCACTTACTAGCTGGCCTCCATTACACTCACCCCCTTAAACCCCACTCCCACCCGGGTCATGGCACCAATGTAACCCCGCCGGTCCTACACCACCCAACCCGCTCCGGGTTGAGATTGAGCCGGCGACCTTCCGCATGGGAGTCGGTTCCTCTAACAAGAAGGCTAAAGACCAAGGCCTCTAGCATCTGTAGCTAGAGCACCTTTAGAAGTCAGAGGAGTGAGGTTTACCTGCACAGCACTTACTAACTGGCCTCCATTACACATCAATCAAATTAAACCTGCTGCATTTGTGGGTGGCTGCAGATGTGCCAGTAAGAAGTACCTCAGTCTTAGGCCGCCTTTACACTAATATGTTTAGTGTAAACTGATAAGTTTTTCTATGGCTATGCCTTCCGTCCACACTATGCTCAAGTTTGTGAGCTCAGACACGAGAATACGCTGAAGCAGCTTTCAGCGCATGCCAGAGTGTGTGTGGTCCCATGACGTGCGTTTTCAGTGGTGTAGTGTGGATGAAGAGCTTTTCAGAAAGTGTGTTCGACTTCATGCAGCGCTGCACAGATCGATCGAAATCTGTCTTAAAGCGGTGCATGCTGGTTAGAAATCTTGATGCTGCGCCGACGCCACGTGACTGTCACATGTGGCATCAAAGTACCGCGACAGCGCTCCGAGATTAGACGGCTGATTCAGCCAGTGCAGCTTCTGAAGAGCGACTGCAGGAGCTCTGATGACGACACCGATATTACACGATTGGCCGAATTCACCACATGACAACAAACACGTGTATTTCGGGTTTATTATTGGACAAATTCCAATTCAAAAGTTTCAAAACAAACAATATACTTTTCATCCCCTCTCTATCCTGTACACATCTTACTTATTAAAAGACTACAAATATTTTACTGCAGTAATCATCTTTTGTTAAATAATCTGGTTATAAAGGTTAGCTTATTTGCACAGGTTTATTTTCAACCTTTTTATACAGACTATTTACTGCATTCATCTCCATGAACGATTTAAATAATATATTTTAGTGAATAACCTAAATATTAAGTCAAATAAGTCTTACAGACTTGAAATAAAATAATCATCATCGTTAATCCTGTCACCCTAAAGCTTTCTTAACAAATTAAGTTAAAGAACTGTTTTATTAAATAATTATAAAAGGATTTTAAGATTATAATATAAATATATATTTTATTTTCTGTCTAGCCGTTTATACCTGCTCTTTTTGGGAAACATCTGCTTAAAGTGTAGGAAGTGTCAGCATGTGATGCCAAAATGACGTTGGTTGTTTGCTCGACATTTGATTTTGGTCACTTTCTAACACAACCTAAAGTCAACCAAATATCAACGTCATTTGATGTTGTTATTGAACAAATAACGTTGTCCTTAGACACTGGCTAGACAATCTAACCTAATGTTAATGTCTTATGATGTGTACCTGCTGGGCAATAACTACATGCACTACAGAATGTTACGTTTACACACACATGCACAAATTACGCATCAGCTTTTAAAAACGTAATACTCACTACTCTTGAGTACTTTTGAAAGGGCTACTTTTTACTCATACTTTCAGTAATATTTACAACAGGTACTTTTACTCTACTCACACTACGTTTTTAGGCAACTAATGGTACTTTTACTTGAGTATGATTTTTCTGTACACTTTCCATCTCTGCTTCTAATCTAATGAGAATTAGTTGGCATGTAGATGCAATGTTACTTAAATTATTCAACAAACGGACCATCAAAATAGAGTGTGACCATGATGTTTAATTAATTAAAACAATATTAAAGGTCTACGCCAGTATCCTAGTGGTTAAGTGTGCTGGCATATGGCACCATGGTGCTAACGGCGACCTGAGTTCAAATCCCGGCTCGAGGTCCTACACAGACCCAATGCTCCCAATGTTTTCCTGTCTGTTCTTCACCATAAAATCCCAATAAAAGGTGAACAAAACAATGTTAAACACTCCACCACATCAAAATACAGTGAATTGAAACTGACTGAATCATTAAAAAGATCATTGTGAAGCTTCTTTTGTATAGAAACCAGGTAAAACTAATGTTTGCTGTCACAAACAGCTTTTATTTGAGCTCAAAGCAAATAACAACAGAGTTAATTACCATGCAATACATGAGCTCGTTACAAACATATTATTATGCACTGTATAGAGCTCTAGATTTATATTTTTAGTGTCTAAGAAAAAGCTGTACAACTAATTTCACACTTCGAACAAGGATTTGGTTTAAATATATATATATTATATGGATCAAAATGCAAGTATTAAGCATCCATGATCAATTGCACTACAATAAACTGCATTATCGGTGGTTATCAGCTGATAGATATGGGCCAGTGGGGGCCTTCTGTGCCTACTGGTAGGCACAGAAAGCTGTTGTCATCCATCCACATGGTTAATCAGCTATAGATCACATACGGCTGTGGCTGAAGGGAGAATAATTTATAAATTTCCCATTATTTGTATTTTATTAACCTCCACCCCTACCCTAAACATCAGAGTAATGTAAAAACAGATCTGGATCTGGAGACTTCTCTATTAGTATAGCTGATTAACCATGTAGATGGATGATAACAGCCTCCTGAGCCTACCAGTAGGCCCATATTTATCAGCTGATACCGCCCATTGAATCGAGTGATAACATTCGAAGTGGGTGTGATACACAAAATTAATTTTAGTGAATACAAACACAGACAAAACACACCACAACATCTACATCTCATCATGCATCCATGAATATTCATATGCACAAATCAGCCAGCTCAAAACACGTATACGTGTCATCCGTGAGCGGAGAAGGCTCTCAGGGCTCCGCCGGAGAATCGTCATCATCGCCGATGACGCCTTTCAGATATGAGCGTTTAAACTCCTCGAACACCAGATCAGTTGTGTCTTCACTGCACACACACACACACAAACACACACGCAAGAATTCAAACCACACAAACAAGACAAGTTAAACACTGATATAATGAGATGAGACTACATTAGAAAACAGCAACAGAGGTGTTTCATGTCACCGACACACACACACACACACACACACACACACACACACACACACACACACACACACAAACACAAACACAAACACAAAAACACACAAACACAAAAACACAAAAACACACACACACACACACACACACACAAACACACACACACAGACACACACACACAAAAACACACACACACACACACACACACACACACACACACACACACACACACACACACACACACACACACACACACACACACACACACACACACACACACACACACACACACACACACACACACACACACACACACACACACACACACACACAGAGAGTTCCTGATGACTTCTTTATATTGTGCTCGGACAACAGATGAACTGAATGAACAGTGTTAAACTGGGGCTCGGCACAAGAGACAGGATCGCGTTTAGATCAGACACTGATATAGCACTCTCTTTTTGGCTTTTCCAATGCCGAAGTGGATCATTTATCATCTCAAGAGTGTGTGTGTGTTTAAGAGATTAAAGATGAGGAAGTTTACACCACACATTGTGCGACAAACACGTGGAATCAGACACACGTGGGGTTTTTCAGGAGGATTATATTGCAGCACTGTTCACAAATTGGATCTTTAAAAGGGAAACAAATGTTTAAATATCAAATAACCTGATTTTCACTGACTAAAACATTATTTTCCAGCACTTTTCCATGAAATTACATTAAAAATGACATGAAACGTTCGAATACCAGCCATTTATTTAACCTCTTAAGGGCCAAGGTGTTTTGAATTATTATTTGTTATGAATATTGTTTCTTTCATTTGCTTAAACAGAATTAGCGGCAGTAGTGTGGTAGCGGTGGTGGTAATGGACAGTGTGGTAGTGCAGTAACATCAGATATAATATGAATGCATAGAATACACAGGCTGACAGAGGATAATCACAATGCAAAACACATCGTGAAACTGTGACTTACCTCTCTTTAGGAGGAGAATGGAAAGAAAATGAAGGAAAGAAAATTTTAGTTAAATAAGTTCTGCAAAATTGTGCAATATAACAGTTTGCTGTAATGCTCATCAATTAAAATAACAATATTTTAAATTAATAATAAAATATTCAATCAGAGCTGTAGAGTTGCACTAAAGAAATGACAGTAATTTCTGCACTACAGCAATTGTGTCATTATTTAGTTCATGTATTAATTGAGTAATTCAGTTTGTGAATCATACGTTTAATTTAACTATAAGCATTTCTAAGGCCATACTCACACTAGGTACAGTTGCCTTGAACCGGGCCAAAGCATGCTTGTCCCCCCTCCCGTCTCCCCCGACGGCCCGCGCTCACACCACAATCGGGCCTCGGCACGCTTACGTCATCGCTGCTGCGCTGTTCAGTGAGAGGCGCTCTCTCACTCAGCAGCACAGTGGAGATTTCTCTAGTTATACCGTGTCAGTCGTTTGATATGCAGTGACATGCAGTCAAATATTCCGCCAAACAGTCCTTAGGGATGCGGTGACACGCAGTCAGATATTTTGCCGAACAGATCCGCCACTTTTGGCGCTCATAAACAATCATAAAGCTCTCGTGCTGCAGGAATGAGGAGGTCTGCTGAAGGCGCGCAGCTGTCGTGCAGTGTCGAGTTCTCGTCTTTAATAAACTACGGCAGTTTGCGTTCACTGAACAGTAAGAATGATTAATAAATCCATATGAAACAGCCCCTTAAAAGTCACGTCTCGCTTTCAGTTTCGAGCTTTGGCGCGTTTTGCACTCACACACACAAGCGTACCGCACCAAAGCCCAAGTGATCCGCGCTCAGACCTCTTCCAACTGGGCCAGGGCCGGCCAAGTGAACCGTGCTTGAGCCCGATTCAGCGCACTCACACTTCTCAAACGATCCGGGAAACGGGCCTGGGCACGGTACGGATGGCATAGTGTGAGTAAGCCCTTAAGATAATGCTTTTACTGACAATGCTTTTGCTATGATTTTGCTGGCATTAATTTATAAAAACATTATAAATATTATTAACAATCATACATGTTTATGTATTCTAATTAGTCTACTTAAATGAACTGCAGTAAAAAAATAATTATTATTTATAAGTATTAATTATTTATAGTTACCTTAATTAACCTAGTTAAGCCTTTAAATGTCAGTTTAAGCTGTATAGAAGTGTCTTGAAGAATATCTAGTCTAATATTATTTACTGTCATCATGGCAAAGATAAAATAAATCAGTTATTAGAGATGAGTTATTAAAACTATTATGATTAGAAAAGTTTTTTAAAAAATCTCTCCGTTAAACAGAAATTAGGGAAAAATAAATTGGGGGTCTAATAATTCAGGGGGCTAATAATTCTTACTTCAACTGTATGTATCTTTTTAAATCACACCTTGTGCAATCTAATAAACAAGTTGAGCCACATTAAATAACCGACTTTATTTCAAAATATTGTGCAGTTTTGGCTTAAAATAGCAAAATATTCCACATGGAAAAAACAATAGAGTAATAAACAGCAAATACTACAGTGTTCTCAAACAATACTATAGTAAGGCACTTCAATTAATCTGTTGGTCTTTACACTGGCTGCCAGTTACATTCAGAATAGATTTTAAAGTATTATTACTGGTCTATAAATCACTAAATGGCCTAGGACCTCAATACATCACAGATATGCTCACTGAATACAAACCCAACAGATCACTCAGATCATTAGGATCATATAAACTAGAAGTTCCAAGAGTTCAGTCAAAGCAGGGTGAATCGGCTTTTAGCCACTATGCCCCTCGCTGCTGGAATCAGCTTCCAGAAATGATCAGATGTGCTCCAACATTAGGCACATTCAAATCAAGACTGAAAACACATCTGTTTAGCTGTGCCTTTACTGAATGAGCACTGTGCTACGTCCGACAGATCGCACTATCATGTTTTTCTCTTCTTCTTCATTCTTTTATATCACATTTTACCTGTTTTTGTTTTGTTTTTACGCATTTTTATTATTTGTTTTTATTTTTATTTTACTTGTTTCTTTTATTCTTGTTTATGTAAAGCACTTTGAATTGCCATTGTGTATGAAATGTGCCATATAAATAAACTTGCCTTGCCGCGCTAAATCTAATGTTGCTATAGCAACACAACAATTAAAGTAATATAAACAAATGACCCAATATTGTAGATTTCTACAACTATAGGGTAAATTATACTACAATAGCACATCACAGACTACTGTAGTAACGTTGAAATTATACTACAGCAGTGGTCCCCAACCTTTTAATCACCGCGGACCGGTCAACGGTTATCAATTCTTTTTATGCTTCAATCAAGGTTTATATGCATCAAATACACCAAACATTTTAACTGACGAACATATTAACAATAATACAACCGTATAGCCGAATTAAATGTATGCATTGGCATTTTACAGCCCTAATGAGTATGATTATGTGAAACTCCATAAAGATACATATTGCAATGATTTCGGGTACTTATTTAGCGATGCACGCACACATATATGCACAATAATTAAATGCTCCGCTGATTTGGACTCTATAATACCTGTTTTATAACTTTAAACTATCAACAACCACCACTGAGCTATATTCTAGCGATCGTTCTCCCCGCTATGTGGTTGGAGTTTGGCATAGTTCATTTCACATGAGATGGCGGGGGTGACTGGAAGAAACCAAGTCGCGGGGGGAATATTTCCTACAGAAATAATTTGATTTCTTTTGTGGCCCGGTGGTTGGGGACCACTGCACTACAGTATTATTACAATATTACTTTACTATAGTTAATACTACAGTATGCTGCAGCATTCATTAACAAAGAGTTTTAAATACTGTAATATGTAGTCTAATACACTTAACTATAGTATGGTTCTAAATCTACCTGACAAAGTTTTGTCGTCTATCCTAGTTTTAGGATCAACAAATATTAATTTGACTTCTAGTTGATCATTTGGTATCAGAAGTGTCTTATATAAAAGGCAAAGGCCTCTAGATTACCCTTTTTTTTACCACATGACTCCATCATGAGCTTGGAGGACTGCATCCATACATCTCTGCACTGACTCAAATCACTGATTAATAAAGTCATCTGGAATGACAATAAAAGAGTTCCTGCAGGACTCCCAGAGTTCATCAAGACTCTTTGTGTTCATCTTCAACGCCTCCTCCTTCATCTTACCCCAGACATGCTCAATAATGTTCATGTCTGGTGACTGGGCTGGCCAATCCTGGAGCAGCTTGACCTTCTTTGCTTTCAGGAGCTTTGATGTGGAGGCTGAAGTATGAGGAGCGCTATCCTGCTGGAGAATTGTCCCTCTCCTGTGGTTTGTAATGTAATGGGCAGCACAAATGTCTTGATACCTCAGGCTGTTGATGTTGATCA